TTGCAGAGCTGTTCTCCAGCTGAGTGTTTCCTTTAAAAAAAAAAAAAAAAAGAAAAAAGAGAAAAAGGAAAAACAGAGCAGCTTTGCTACAAAAATCTCTCAAAATCTGGCCCTGCTGGAGCACGGATTGATTGTGAGCCAGTGTAAAAAGACACAAATCCTCCTCTTTGAGTATGATGAGGCTCACCGACACGCTTGGGACAGCTGATACGGCCTATTTCAAGGACAGGACAATTGGTCTCCTCCAGGGGAAGGGTGGTTAATGGTGTCTCCATAGCACTGGTCACGGCAGCATGGAGGAGGAAAGGAGGGAGGTTTGGATGGTGAGGTTTGGCTCTCCTTGGTGAGCCAAGGAGAGGCTGAAGGGGGAGTCTGGGCTCAGCGTGTCCCACAGGTGCACCCAGGGCTGGGACCTTCTCCGTGCCGAGGATCTCTCCTGTGACATGTGGCAGTGAAACTGCTCGTGGGTTCGTGTTGGAACCGGGGAGAGGCCAAAGGCAGATGGGCCCAGTGAAGGGGTGCCAGGAAGGAAAGCGATGTGGGAGGGGAAGCAGAAACCACCTCTCTCAGTCTCTGGTAATGAAAATGAGGTGGTGGCCTCACTCCACGTGCATGGGGACAGTCCCACCGGCTGGGAATTTCCCACTGGCAGCATGGTGCTGAATAGTGTCTTGGGCTTTCCCTTGCTGCCGTTTCTCTGCTGGAAGTCAAACATAGAGCAAAGAGCTGCCTGTGGGAGCATGTCCCCAAACCTGCTGCCTTCTGCCCAGCAAAAATGAGAAGCAGATATTAGGGTATGGGGAGTCAAAAGAGGATGCACTGCCTCCATCTGTTAGCATCAGGGCCGGGGAAATCCTGAATGAGAAAGTATGTGGAGGAGAAATGGAACAGAAATTGAAAGTTTCTCCTGTGACTCACTGCAGATCCACCATCTGCAATGCAAAGAGCATCCACAATCAGAGACGCAAGCAGATCAGCCAGGAGACCTACAGGCGCAACAGCAGGAAGTACATCCAGAGCCGGAGAAATATGAAGGTCAATTTCCAGGAAAAGGCCAGCGTTATCAGTGAGTGAGCTTTGCTTCAAGCCCTCCGCATGTTTCAACCCAAGGCCTGGAGCCAGAACAGTCTCCATGGTGGGGGGGCTCTGGTTCTGCTCCCAGTTTAGGGAGGAGATGACACCGTAGGACCTGCATGTACAGGTCGCTTGTGGCCTTCTCCAGGGGGAAAAGCAAGTGCAGGGAGGTATTGCTGTTTGGAGGAGGTTGTATACGTTAGGTATAAATCTGACAAAGACGGAGCAGGAAGTGGTGACAGGAAGGCATGGAGGGGTACAGAGTGCTGAGCTGTCTCCACATCTGCTTCACCTGCAGTTGAGAAAAACGAGCAGGAAGAAAACAGGTCCAAGGCTCAGCCTGCTGTTCCTCCCCGGCCCAGCAAAGACCTCATCATGAACCGCTGCACGGAGAGTACCAGGAGGAAGATCCTGTGAGGCTCGCCCACGCCGAGCAAGTAGATGCATTGCCCCTGGTTTTGCCTGTGCAAAAACAAGGGACGGAGAGCCCGAAACTCTGCTGGGGGAGCTACAGAAGAGCTGCAGTCTGTAGGGAACGGCAGACTGAGGAGGCTGCAGCTGGGGCCTCACGTTAACTCAAGAGCATGTCTGAGATGTCCTACATAAATACAGCGAGCACTGTGCCTTGGGCCTTCCTGAGGGCTGAGGATTCCCAGAGCCTGATGGAGCTATATTTAATAGGCTACTTTTGTCCTTTCTAAATCCCTGGTTTGTATTTTGGATGATTTCATGGTATTCAAAATTACCAGCTTTCTACCACAAGGGTTTTGTGTCTTCAGTTCCTTCAAGAAAACAGTTGTGAACTACCCTGTAAATAATTTGTACAAAGTCAAATGTAGAAAGAATCCTTTGTATATATTGTTTTGGTGCTTTTAACGGTCTTTCAGTGCTTTTATTAATGCAGCCCAGCAGCATACATGGACCTGTGAGGAGCAGTTGCACCCACTGCATAGGCCAGGCCTTGTGCACCCTGTGCCCGCAGGTTGCACAAGGGCTTCCCCGAGGGCCTCTTACAAAAGTCCCAGGGGATATTTGTTGGGGCAATAAAGGCAGTTTTGCAAAGCGGGTTTCCTCACAGGCCTCGGCTTCCTCGCTCCCTGTGGGAACAGCCTGACTGGGGAGGGTCGTGCTGCCCACCGTGACAGGAGCCTGCCAGGCCGTGACAGGAGTATTCCCTGCAATGACATGGGGGGTTTTCCACCTTGACAGCACCGCTGCCTGCCACGACAGCAGCCTGTCCAGCCATGACAGGAGCTCGCCCGCCATGACAGGAGCTCACCCGCCATGACAGGGCTGCTGCCATGACAGGAGCGCCCGCTGCCATGTCGCTGGTGCCATGCCTGGCAGGGTCAGGCTCCCAGGCGGGACATGAGGGCTGCGTTGGGACAACACCAAAGCACCTGCCCCGCATCCCCGGGGCCGCCGAGCGCCATCGCAGCTTGGGAGGTTTACCCGTGGGCCCCCCGCCCCCGCGGACGCCATCGCCCCTTTAAGAAACGAGCTCCGCGAGCCGGCAGCGCGCAGGCGTGGCGGCAGCGGGGAGGACGGCGAGATGGCGGCGCTGGGGGCAGCGCGGGCGCCGCTGCGGCGCGGCCTGTGCGGGGCGGCGCGGCCGCGCAGCCTCCGGCAGCTCCGCGAGGCCGACGAGGCGGCGCCCGTGTTCCAGTACGCGGGCAGGGCGGCCCGCCGGAAGGACCGCGTCTTCGTGTGGGGCTTCTGCCACTCGGGGGCCCTGGGCATCCCCAGCTTCGTGAGGCCCGACGCGGGCTGGAAGAAGCCGCGGCGCGTCCAGCCGACCCCCTACCGGCTGGACACCGAGGAAAAGGTGGGTCGGGCGAGCGCCCCCTCCGTGTCTTACACGTGCTCAAGCATGTCAGAACAAGCAGGGTAGTAAAACAGGAGATTGGTTTTTTTTTCCCTTTAATATCTCAGTTTTGCCTTAATTTGCTGCAGCTGGAGGACTGTAAATAGGTCTTGTTGTTGTACCTGCATGAATCCAACAATAGAGTGGGGATAAGCACTTCCAAAAACAACAGCCCAGAGCTGTAATGACAAATTTCTGTTTACACCGTTGTGCTTAATGGTGTGATCATTTCTGTAAAGATATGATCATTTTTGATATCATTTTTTTGTAAAAACAGGATCCAGCAACATATTTTACAAAATATCATTTTTGTAAAGATAGTGCTTGGTCATGTATTTGGCTTTATTTGGCGTGTGGACTAAACAAGGATATATGGCAGTGGAAAAAAAAAGATACGCTTGTTTTTCTAGGCAGTAGTTAGTAACTAAATAGTGTATTTTTTTTTCCTTGTTTTCAAAGATCTCTTCTGCAGCCTGTGGTTATGGATTCACGCTGCTGTCCTCTACTACCACTGACATCACCAAAGTCTGGGGCATGGGCCTCAACAAGGATTCCCAGCTTGGATTTCAGAGAAGCATGGGAGATCGAAGTAAGGATTTTGAGGTGTTGTCAGGACCTACGGGGGCGGTGCTGCAGGATCCATGTGGTGTGGGAGACGTTGGGTTACGAGATAGGAAGAATATACAAGAAGCTTTAGTGAAAGCTGTGGGGCTGCCTTTTTTTTTTTTTCTCCCCTAGAACTTTGTTGTGTTTGCTATGTGTGCATTTATGGTCCAGACATGTTTCTTTTCTATATGTTATTTTCAGTGTGCGTAGTTTGTTATTGAGCAATATTTTGGGTTAGTTAATAAATTCTCTTGATGTGCTAGTTTGCTGTCTTCTTTTGCCTTCATATCTCTATCCCAGCTTGATATAGTCATCTCAATGTCATACGCACTTCAGAACATGTTTTCTGTGCTAGAAACTCTTCTTCCTCCTAAGGCCGACAAGAAAAGTATGAAATTCATTCCTATATGGAATTCTTGTCTCTACTTGTAAAAAACTTATGTTTTGGAAGATTGCATCACTAAGCATTTAGGGGAAAATTGTGTTAATAACAGCCATTGTATTTCATGAAATTGTAGGTCTCTGATCTCTTGTGGAGTCATGCTATTTTCTATTTTCTATTTTTTTTTTTTTTGCATTCTCTTTTCCAAGAGGGCTTTTAATCCACTGTTCTTTAAAGATGAAGCTCTAAGATTTGTTCACCTGTCATGCTGTTTTGTGATTGTGTGCTATTGTACCTTGCCTCCAAAATTCACAGTTCCATGGAGTAGTTAAGTTTGTGCTCAGCTTTAAACTCCCTAGTAATCCAGCCTTATTCACCCAAGTAGTCACACAAGCTGAAAACCTATCTTTTTTGCTTCCTGACCATCTGAAGTCATAATACCCATGCAGCTCCTGGGAGTAGTGGATTTTTAGCTATGCAGTGATTGTTCACTTCAAGCATCACGGCTGTTTTTCATCTGTTCCTCCCTGATGAATCCCAGCAGCTCTTGGGTTCCTGCTTTCTAAAATTCATCTGTTTCACTAACAAAATAAGAACCGATGTCTACAAGGTAACCTGCAACATATCATTGATTTGCATTGCGGATGATACTGACTTTTTAACTTTTCTCTTTCTCTCTTCCTTCTTTAAGATAAAGGTTATGAGTATGTCCTGGAACCTTCTCCAATTGCACTGCCACTGGCGAAGCCTCAGCAGACGCGGGTCTTGCAGGTTTCCTGTGGGAGAGCCCATTCCCTGATCCTGACAGATAGCGAAGGAGGTACAGTATCGCTTTGCTGGATACAAATGACACGTAAATCTGTACTTTCAGTGGGGGAAAAAAAAAAAAAAATTGTCTTCTGTCCTCAAACTTGATGCCAGATTGGCCGTCAGCACTGTAAATGTGATGTAGCTGGCTGTTAGCCCCTGTGGGGTTGCTTGCTGGAGGGAGAGCTCTGAGCGGGTAACTGTGTATTGAGCTCTATGCTCTCTTTGGCTCGAGCTGCAAACGTGTTGGAAGTTTTTTCCAGATAGTATTGAAAAATATGGTTTGTTTATCTAGCCCCAGCCCTTGTTTAAGTATAAGCTATTTGTCTTGTTCAGTCAGATGTGTTTTTGAGTTCCATTTTAAATGACTGTGCCAATACTTTAGTGTTATTTTCCCCGTGAAGCCCTGGAGTGCAGCATTTATAAAAGTAGTGAATTAATAGGCCTTGGTACAGAAGATCCTCTGTGAATTGGCTCGTGGCTTTGTTGGGAATTCTCAGTGGTTTCAATGCTATATGGAGCAACCCAGTGCTGCTTACCACAGGCCAGCTGCATTGTTGATCTAATGCTCTTGTGGGAATGCTGATCTATTTCCGAATCTCCTTGGCAATGGTACGATGAGCTAGGCAATTACAGAGAAAGAGCTGATGAGCTCCAAATCCTACAGCCGTGCCCCCAGTGTTGCCTTGTTCCTTGTTGTCTAAAATCACTTTGGCCACTTGAATTTAAGTGGGCTTGATGGAAGAAAGCTTAGGGTTATTCTGTAGGACTGTGTTCAACTTTTGTGCCTTTGGAAACTAGTTTTTGTACCTACTTAGGGATGCTTGTGAGGTTAGACATTAATTCAGTGAGCTTTTTTATCATTGTTTTTCAGTCTTCAGCATGGGCAACAACTCTTATGGTCAGTGTGGCAGGAAAGTTATCGAAGACGAAGTGTACAGGTGAGACTCCAAGCAATCCAAACCTTGCCAAGGAAAAGATTGTTACTAAAACAACCCTTCAGAAAAGCCCGGAAGAGGGAAAAAATGATAGTGAAAAAGATACTGCTTAAAATTAAGGAGCCTAAAATAAGACTTTTATGCTGCGGGTGTCATGTAAGGGCTGTCTGTCTTTAAAGCTGTCTTTAAACATCTGTCTTTAAGCCTAAGCAAGCTTGTCTCAACATTATGTCTGTGCTCATTCCAGACTAGGGAGTGTGTTTGAAGACCACCCACATCCCCATGAAATGTTATATTGAAAAAAGTGATGGTTTTAAGCTTCTTAAATGAGACAATGAAAAAATATTTTCCTACTTCTGTACAGTGAAACGATATTTTCTGAATATATGAAGAAAATTCCCTCTCCTTGTAATGATAAATGACCTTTTTTAGTAAAGGTAGATCTGTCTTCACATTTTTCGGTTGCAGTTGCCTGAAATGCTTTATATTGCCTCTTCTCTTTCTGCTCCTTATTGATGGTGTCCAGTGAAAGCCATACCATTCATCAACTGAAGGAATTTGACAGCAGAGTTGTCCAGGTAAGACTCCCCCCCCCCAATTTGATTCAAAAGAGGAATATGGTTGCTTATATAAAGCACAAGGAGGCATTTTGCTCTGTGGCTTTGCCAGGTAGTTGCCAAAGCAGGGTTTGAACTTACTGAAGAATTTGATGGGAATAGCAGTGTAGCACTTGCTTGACTTCCTAACTAACATCTGCATGGCAAGGAGATTGTTCTGACACATCATCTTTTCCCGTCTTTGCTCTTGTCCCCCTTGGGTACTTTTTTGTCACTTTGGAACTGTTTTATTCTGAATGTTTGTTTTATTTCAAAAATGAGATCACCCACTTAGCCTACCTAGCACTTTTTATGCTAAGTTTCTGAGAGAACAACAGACTCCAGAGCAGCATAAATGTAGCAGCATCTCCATGCACAAGAGCAGTCTATTAAGTGTCTCTGTGCCGCTGTAGCAGTGCTGTGTCTGTGCCAACATTGTTCCTGTTCCATATGGTATCCTAGAAAGCAAAGGTCACTGACATAAGGCCAGGGGGAAGAAAGCGAGGCATGATACATCATAAGTTTTTGTTGGAAGTAGGCTCCCAAACTTCTTTTCAGACTTCTTGTGGCATTTCAAGGAGTTTGGATAATTATTCTAATAATTCATCATCCTTGATGAAAACTGTATAGTGTTTAATATATTTGGATCATCAATCTCTTAATTCGTGTGTTAAATCCCTTTTAATATTAGACTTATTTTTAGCCTCTGTTTTTGAAAATCTTGACTTTAGTTTCTGCCAGACTTGTGGCAGACATGGCTGGGAGTTCAACATAAATGTCAGTTTGAGAGTGAATGGTTTCCTAGAGCGTTTGCATGGCAAAGAATCAATAGCAGGGGGTTGCTTGCGTTGAGAGTCATGGGGTAGCACCCCGGGAAGAGTGATCTTGTTTGCTTTCTGCTGTTTGTTATGTTGGACTGCCCATTTGAGTGTTTTTTGGATCTTAGAACATATCAAGCGTAGCACTGCTTTCTAGAAAGAAAATTCTGCTGTTTCTTGGGTTGTGTCATGTTTTTTGTTTGCCTTCCCCATGGTGCATAGAGCTGCTTGATCTGGAGGGAAAGGTCCAAATGTAATTTGATAGCTGTAGTGGAGGTTCAGTTTGTCCGTCAGTAATGTGTCATTAAATTGGTTCTGAACATGTCATATTTCTTGACCAGCTCTGGCTTCTCATTTGTGTGCAGGTTGTGTGTGGGCAGGACCACAGTCTGTTTAGAACAAAGAAAGGCACAGTGTATGCATGTGGATGGGGAGCTGATGGACAAACAGGTAGGAGCTCAGCTGAACTTCTCTTTCAGTGAATTGATAACTAGCAAGCTGTGCTAAACTCAGAGCTGATGAGGAGACTTGCCTTGCACATGTGGACAGAAAGGGGCAACTCTTTCCAGTTATGTGCAGATGTTCCCAGTGCCCTTGTGTAGCTGAATTGAGACACACCAGTTGTTCCAGGGTGTGTGTGGTGGTGGGTTTTGTGTGTGTTTTAGGATGCCATGCTGGCAATCCAGGCATGTCATCTGGGGCGAATGTGACCTTGTTTACTTTGTGAGGATGTGCAGGGGTGGCATGTGAAAATAGCTTGCTCTGTTCTGCAGACTTTGCTTTCTGATTCTCTTGTTTCAGGATCCCTTTTGCTTGCTTCCCCTTTTGACCTGATGGAGACCTTTGGCTGCTAGTGCTGTGTTAGCACTGCGTGTTGGCCAGGCCCCTGTTCTGCTGTCAAAGGACTTCCTCTAAGCTCTTCCTACCGTTCCTTCCTTCTGCGGCCCCTGAAGCTTGGTTCTTCTGGTTCTCTTGTGTGGATATACTGTAGACTAGTGGTTCTCTTGATTTTTGTCATCATTCTGGCCTCTTGCTCGAGCAGTTGTTTGTCGTGCACTATGTTTGCTTCTCAGCATCTCTTGCCACTTCACCTGCTGATTTCTAAATAGTTTTTCAAGTGTCCTGTGACTTCTGGCTCTTCTTGCAGAAGACAGGATATAGACAGTTTGTAAAATTTCACTTTGTCAGGGTGTCTGCCTAACTTGGGTTACTCCTCTCTTAAACACTTCTGCCCATGCAGTAGAAAGACATAAACCTAGATTGTTTCCTAAGTGTGGCTGTATAAGACTGCCTGGTCGGAACCTGCTTCTTCAGCTAGCAGGAGTGGCTACTTGTCCAATGAAACTGGTCCTTCAGATGTGGAGTGAACAATGTTTCTCTTAGAATGAAAGGGAGAGTGATTCTGCAACTTCACACACATGCACGCACACACATCCTGTGTAGACAGTAGTTGATAGTACTCCTTTTTTCTTTTTTCCCCTCTCTTTCAGGTCTTGGACACTACAATATCACCAGTGTTCCTACTAAGCTACAGGGTGACATTACTGGAGTAAACATTGTCCAGGTCGCTTCCTATGGGGACTGTTGTCTGGCTGTTTCAAATGAGGGAGATCTCTTTGGTTGGGGAAACTCGGAGTATCTGCAATTGGCATCTGTCACGGAGACCACACAGGTTAGCTAGTCTGGGAATTAGTTTTCACATGTTTCAGTTCAGCTGCAGTGCACTGAGTTAAAAAACTACTACTTCCTATTCTGCTGCTTTAACAGCAGTACGGATCAATATAAATCCTTAGCAATCTGTTTTTTTCCCTATACCTATTAAAAAACCAGTCTGTCTGAAATAGTTGTTTGGCTGTAGGATAATGTATTCCCAGTGAGAATTTTCAAATCTTTTTCGAATTCCTCCATTCGCTTCCAATATCTCACTATTTTAAGGCAGAATACAATTGTACTGATCAACTTCTGACTGTTTACAAAGCTGTCTTGCAAAATGGCCAAATCCAACAATGTCATAGCTAGTTTTCTAGCTTGTGTTAAATGCTTTTTAAAATTCTGTATAAGTAGTGATTGCTTATACTGTGAGTAGGTGCACTGGTAAAAGATAATGCTATTTCTTTTAGTAGTATAATAGATCACTTTTCTAAGTCTTAGGCTTCAGTGAGGAGGAAAACTGAATGAAAATACTATAAAAGAAGGAAAAGTGAATGAAAATAGTATAAAAGAATATCCAAAAGAAGGTCTGCATGCTCCAAGAGTCTTGTGAATTGCATTGAGTTATTCAGGCATTGCAGGATATTCAGTGCATGTAAACTGCAGACAGAACTTGAGAACATGTTCCAGTTTATTGGTTTGTTTTTGAAGCCAGGCTTTTGACCTTGTGCAGGTGAACGTTCCCAGACATTTGCCATTCAAGATAGGGAAGATAAAGGAAGCTGCATGTGGAGGGACTGGCAATATGGTTTTAACTGGTGAGTTATGCAGTAGGTGGATTGTAATGTATTTGATCAAGCAACTTGTTTACTGGAAATAAAGGAGTACTATCTGTATGACAAAGTTAGGAGACCGAAAAGGCTGTGGTTTAAGACTCTCTTGCCCTGATATTTTCACCGCTGTATGTTTTTGGGAAGCTGTGGATGTGTTCTATTGTGATCACTTGTGCTTCAACTGTGTCCATAAGACATTAAGTTGATGTATTTCTTGCATACCTGTGTTGTTTCTCCCTCATCTCCCCACCAGGATAGCTTTGCGTGTGAAGCTTGATCCTCTTAAATGGATTAGGGGAAAAAAATGGGAATTTGGGTGGAAATGCATTGTTTGGTACTTAAAAAAAAAAAAAAAAAAGTGCTATACTGCTTTAGGAGAAAGGGAAAATATCTGTTTAGATCTGGTTAACACTTGGTCATGGTGTGAATTTAAGCAGCACAGCCTTTCTCACACAATGTTGTCTTATTGTAATGCAGAAGAAGGAAATGTTTTTGTCTGGGGATATGGAATTCTTGGGAAAGGACCAAACTTAATAGAAACAGCAGTGCCAGAGATGATCCCACCCAGCCTCTTCGGCCGGTCAGACTTCAATCCGGACATCTGTGTTGCTCGCATTCGCTGTGGACTCAGCCAGTTTGCAGCACTTACAAGTAAGTTTTAGCCCTGAAGTCACAGAGAAGTCATCTAGCTATGTTAATTTTGGCAGCTTCAAAAGTTCTCTCTCTCTCTCTCTCTCTCTTTTTAAACTTAAACCACACTAATGGAATGCAACAAATAGGGAAGTTTACAAGTACTGGCAAGAATTTAGGTTCTTTCTAAACCTAGCTACTGCTGTGATAAAACTGTTGTGAATATATGCCTGTGTTGCATAGCGTAGCTTCTAAAAATCATGGGTTTATTTAAAAAGCTGATTCTATAATCAGACAGCATGTCCCTTCTATAATAAAACAATTATCTCAAGCAGGAAACCTAGGAAGTTTTTTAAGTTCAGCTGCACTTTAGATTCATTAGGAATTTATGTAATAAATGAACAAACTGCCTCTGATGCAGACTGTCTGTCTTAGGCCTTCTGACCAACTTGGAAGCAATGTGAGATGGGAAGACTTACATATTTAACATTTTAACATTTAACATAACTTTATATTCACTGGTTTTGATGCAACCTTTAAATGAAGTTATCAATCTGAAGATCATTTAAAAATAGGCAGTAGAGGGCAGCGACACAGAAAACTCATGTACCTGATAGCAAAAATAATAATTTACAGTGTCTTCTCAGCAGGACCAAGGGCGCTGCTATCTGACGCAGCCAGTCTGGTTAGATGGTGATTGTAGCTGGCTTCCCTTTGGCTTTGGCTTTCCATTATATTGGTACTAAACTGGGTGGCTCTCTTGCTGCGTGTGTAACCCATACTCCCCAGAAGCTCAGTAGCTACATTTGCCAGCATTGCAAATAGGTATACCAAAATACTTCCTTTTTAATGACTGTGCCCTTACTTTTTTCCCTCCCCCCTTCCTCCCCTCCTACAGACAGAGGAGAACTCTTTGTATGGGGCAAGAATCTAAGAGGATGTCTGGGAATTGGAAGAATGGAAGACCAGTATTTCCCATGGCGGGTAAGGACAGAGGCATTAAGGCAAGATTATATTCTGTAGCTAGCTCTTCATATCACAAGAAAGAGCAAGAAACCTTATTTGCTGCCCAGTTCTGGTGAGTAATTTTTGAAGACTAAGCAAAATGTCCTTATAAGTGCTTTCCTTGCTAGAGGTCCTGGCCTAGCCTTTTCAGGGTTGGAGGTGCTCTGTAAATACCTGTGTCTCTTGGTTCTACTTGTTCAGTACAATATTAGATCCAGAAGCCAAAGCTGGTGGCTGTGTTATCATTTCAGAAGAGTTCTCATTTGCTTGCTCCTATGTGCTGCTCTTTAGTGCTTCTTCCCTCCCCGCTGTAGCCTGCATTTTACCGCTGTATGTGTTGCTAAGAAAACAGCTGGTGTTGGTCATCTGTGACCCATAAGAATTGAGTTAAACATTTACATTAAGTGAGCGTTTCAGTTGCTGTGGTCAGACCACTATGGAAGTAGGCCCATGTAGTAGTGGGCTGCCTTCTCCTGATTCTTTTGCCCGTGGTGGTGAGTTGGTAGACTGACTGTGTGTCGCCACAGGAGGAGATACTTAGCCCCGAGCTGTTTTCATAGCTGTTCTGCAATGCTCCACGTTCCACTCCCTTCTTGGATGACACTGAGAGCCAGATTCTGTGGGTGTAGAAGAGTGTTTGGCTCTAGACTTCCGCACTCACCCTTGCAGATGTTCCCACTTTCTAAGGCAAAGGAGGAAGGAGGCAGGCAATCAGTTGGACCACCCTGGAGTCCCCTTCTGCGTGTCTGAATGGCTTTTTCTTTGGCACGCTCTGTCCTTCCTTTAAAAATGAACAAAACAGACCACTTCTGCAGTGTTTGCCTAAAACTACCGTGCTGTATCTGAGAAAATATGCTTTCGGACCCACCATGCATGGCATGTGATGCTGGTTATGAGACGAGTAGGTTATGAGGGGTATTTTCCCTCAAATGGACATCTCCTGTCTGGCATAGCTATAGCAGTGCATCAAAGCAAGAGCAGTTACTGGGAAGTTTTCTTTAACCTGCCACCATAGAAGGAGTCATCTCTACTCTTCCTTGTGTCCAGGAGAAAAAAACTTGGGTCTTGCTATTGCTTCCATTTATTTTGAAGTCATTTTTAAGCTATAATTACACTAGTGAGTGTGCTGAGTCTGCTTGCCATCGAAACAAGAACTGCCCGAGACAAAAGCTTCCACTGTGCTCTGCCTGTCCTTCTTCCTTGAGAGAAGAGGCAAATCTTTATGGTGCTTGGACAGATCATGTTGTCTGGATTATGCTCTATCCAGTCATGTGGCTTCTCCTGCTGAGCAGATGGGCTGAAGCTACAGTCTCCTTGCTCTCTGCTGGGTAGACCTCTTTTTCTGTCCTTTGGAAAGCTTTTTGGAAAGCTTCTGTGAGGGTAGAAAGGGAATGTTCTTCTAGGATGCACATGACAAGCTTGCCTGGTGCTGAATCTAGCTTTATCTGGATGTTCAGCGTAGCCCTTTGGTGGGTGCAGAGTCTTTGCAAAAGGAACTAAGCAGAGGAAGGATGAGAAATAACAAATGTCGGGTGCAAAGTGCCAGCTTGAGAAATGATCTATTCTTTTGTGTCTGACACAGGTGACTGTGCCTGGTGAGGTGGTGGATGTTGCATGTGGAGTCGATCATATGGTAAGCCTGGTTAAGTCTTTTACATAGTTAGGCTGCTCAGCACTGTGCTTAGAAGATGTGGGAACCTGGCAACGAGCTTCTCGGAAGGAAAGACTTTTTCCATGGAACCGGGCAAGAAGCAACTGTGAGCAGAGGCAGCCTGTATGTCACCTCTGTGTTGCTGAAACGCTTCAGCCTGCAGGAGGGAAGTGCTTTCCCTGAGAAGAGGGAATTTAAGGAATGCTCTATCTGGTTCACGAGAGCTTGTGAAGAATCAGAGACCCAGACTCAGAGGTGAGCTTGTGTAAAAGGATGACAACATCTCTTGGGGAAGACTAGGATGATATGAAATCTGTAGTACAAGACCTTCATTTACAGACTGGCTGTCCCTGTCACTAACTCTCTGCTACCAGTGTTGGACTGAGACAAACTATTTCTCAGGGGGAAGCTTTTTAATTACCATTTTTATTGTGTAAGAGAAGTTGCACTGGCTTCTGGAATCCAGCCGAACTGCCCTCGACATCTGCCACCAGCTGCTGCCTTTCTCGCTGTTGTTTGTGCGGGTATTGCATGCACAGCTAGTGGCCCAGAGGCAGATAGTGAGCTCATCACAGGCGTTTGCAGGCTCTCCACGTGGGCTAAACATCAAAGGGGCTCCTTCCTTGCACTGCAAGAGTAAAGACTTGTCAAGAGGAAGCTACTGTTAAATAAGACAGCATGGAAAGGTGTATCATGTACTGTCCACGCTGCTATTGCTGTTTGTGATTGCAGCAGTCTGATTGTAGCAAATCTAATGTGTTTATGGACTCGGGTCAGGAACAAACTCCCTCTGAGCTACATGTATGGCTGGTGCTCAGGCAATGGAATTGAGCAGAGGTTTTCTCATCAACTGCATCTCTCTTAGCATACTCATCACAAACTGCGGCCTTTGGTTTCTTCTCTTCACGTATTTGGCAGCGTAGCAACTCTCCATCGCAAACAGCCCTTTTAAATTAGCCTTTGCTGTAGTGCCTGAGTGGGGAAGAGACTTAACAGGCAACAAGCAGAATTTACAGCCTTGTTTCTTGTTAGCTTCTTGGCAAAGAAGTTGTGGTAAGTGCATTTAGGATATAGTATCTAAAGGAGAAGGGATGTAGCAGCCGTATGTACTCCTGGTGTAGCAGCCTCTCAGCAAGCCTCTTAGCAAACGGTGAAGTGTGGGAAGCTGATTGTTTTGTGTGCTGAGCTGCAAACATCAGGCAGAGCTGTATCTTCTTTCTTTGTACTGTGTTGCTACACTGTGTAAATTACTTTGGCAAAATGTGATCTAATGTGTTTTAAATAAAGTGATTGTAAAGCCTTTATATCAGTAGTAATGGAAATATTCTTGAGCTGGAGTTCGCTGACAAGCTGCTCCGTCTTGCGCTGTGCACTTAAGTTGAACATTTTACTACAGTGTGACGTGATAGGAAACTGCTTGTTGATGGAGATGCCTCTGTGCCTGCAGGACTCCTGCTGTGGTAGGCAGGGTGTATAGCCGTGGCCCCCAGGTATACCACATACACTCATTTACTGGACTCCTTCCTTGCTGTATCAGTTCTTCTTAAGTAATTAACAAAACTCAGGGCTAAGCTTTACCTAGATGAAATAATCTCTTGGAGGACTGTGTAAAAAGCATAGGAAAGGTTAAACAATCTACAGAAATAGTTATTTTTGAGAGTTACTTTTAATGATACTATATAACTTGTGTTTTAGTGCCAGGTTCGCGTATGGATCAAAGCAGAAGGCTTACATTAAATCAAAATAGACCTTTACTACTGGAAATTCCCATTAAATTATCTTTAATTTATACCTTCTGTATGTGTCTTCTTGGCTCCAGGCTTCCTTATTCTAAAACATGGAAAACAAATGTGAGAAAGGATGGCAAGCAGGACAGTTCCCTTTTGTTTCACCAGAGCTGTACAAAATTGCTGGCTGCTGCTTGGCAGCAGTGCAGCCTCTTAGCTGCTGGCTTTTCACCATAGTGAGTAGGGTCGTGAGGAGACTGGGATGAGGACGGTAACTGCCATGTCTTACCTGTTTCTGTTGCAGTTTTGACTGCAATAAATTGCAAAATCTGTTAATTAGATGTCTGCAAGGCCTTTATCTGTAAACAAGTGTTACAGGGCTTAATGAACTTGGAGTGCTTGCTCTAACATGCTCTGATTAGGAACAGAAGTGGTGGCAAGAGCCTGCTGTCTGCATTTGTCCCACCCTTGGTTTGGTAAGTGCGTGTTGCTTTGGTCCAGAAAACCGGCCTAGAACTCACTTAGGACTAACCCTCTGAGTGAGTCACCAGAGGCCAAAATTAGATTTCATACATTAACGTTATGTTTTTATAAAAATAGACCTAGCCCATGATGAGCTAAAGATCCTTCTGGAACTGATGCTTCTGTGTCCTCCAAGAGACTATTCAGAGACTATTAAAATGCAGGTGGGAAAAGGTTGGTGTTGGTCGGCAGAGCTGCCCTCCCAGCAGAGCAAATCCAGCAGAGCAGGGGTTCAAGGGAGCGCTGACTTCTGCCCTCGGAGCTTGGGTAGAGGTCCCAGGAGCTGGAAACCTTGGTCTCGTACAGCTGTGCTGTCCAAAGGCATGATAGGAGAAGCATCTGCACCCTGCAAGGCTGCACTGGGATGCAGTAAGCAGTTGTACAGAGCAAAGACTCTTGTAAGCGGCAACGGCAGGGAGAGGAGGGTGTGGGTTTCTCCAGGTATGGGAGCCGCCTCTGGGATTTGAAGTTCTGGTAATCAGAAAGGCGAGCGCAGCGTTTGTGCCCTTAACCCTGCAGCAGGCAGGCTTGGCCGTGGACTGTTCCCAGTGTCCTGTTCTGCTCCATCTTTTGGCCCGCAAGCTCTGGAGATGCGGCGCGGCAGGGGCAGAAGATACACACGTGTGTTACACAGGGCCATTTCACTTTTTCTAACAGTCCTCTGGCCTCTCTGTGGCACTCTCTTGTCTCAGCCTCGTGCCAGAAATGGGAAATGCACTTTATACTAGAGACTTTAACCTTCAGAAATCACAGGTTTGTCCAAAAAAGAGCCTTTGCCAGGGACAGTGTTGCCAAGAAACTGCTTCACTAGCGTCAGTGCCTTTCACGACAGAGAGGGTGAATTTCATTCATATTTCTGTCCTGTTTTTTTTCGGGGGGGGGGGGGGGGGGGGGACGGGCGGTATATATTCCAGGCCAGTGGGATATATCCAACCACCTTCTTCCCACTCTGGTTAAGTTTTTCCTAGAGAAACTATTTGGCAACAAAGTTGGGAAGAGCCGTGTGGTCAACACTGCAGCCGTGGCCCTCTTGTTCTGGGGTAGGTGCCCAGCACCTGCTATTGTGCCTTTAAACTGGTGCCTGCGGGAATTGTGCGTGCTGTGATTTTTTTTTTTTTGGCTACAGATTAATCTGCTTAGTCCAATAAAAGCAGTCCTGGGCACAAGGCACCTGGTGTTGTGTGTGGTACGAAGGGAGCTGGCTCTGCGGGATGTTTGTGACATGGGAGATCCCGTTCCTCTTGGCCCTTCCCTCTAACTGGACAAAAACAAAGACCAAGGGTGGTCTTGAAAGCTATACCTGTTGTAACTACACTTTCCTAAAAGGTTCCTTGGTGTTGTGCCTGGTCTTTTCCCTCCACATTTGGCCCCAGCTGGAGTGTCAGTATCCTGTTTCCATGCTGGAGGGTCCAGAACTGCTGGAATACCATCAATTAAAAATAAAATGCAGGAGTGATGACCCTTTCAGGCTTTATTCACGCTGTAAGGGCCTACGACAAATGATGGCCATGGAGGCCACCACATCTCCCTTGCCCGCTCAGCATGTGCTGCAAGCTGCAGCTACATGCTGTGCAACTAAAAGCAACAACCTCCCACCCACAGCTTGGGTTCCCCCAGCACAGACCACTGCTGCCCTGGTGCAGAGCTGCTGAGGCCGAAGCGAGGCTTTTCTCCAGGTCCTGCTTGGTCTGGGTAGCCTCTGGTCACTTGAGACCCATCCCACCAGAGTTTTCACACAGCAGCCCTAAGCCAAGGGTTTTTTTTTTTATAGGTAAGGAAGTGCTCATGTCCCAGCACCATTCGGAGTGTTGGTGCTCACCAAGCTGGCCCCACGCAGCCCTCCAGCTACGTGGTAAGCATTTTAAGGCAGGCATCAAAGGCAGATGCAGCAGTGTACCCAGGCACTCTCTATCTGGGGCAGCCGTACTTCAAAAAGCAATATTGAAGTGCCATTAGAAGTTTCTTTTATAGTGAGTGGCTTTTTTTTTAAGTGCAGCTGCATAAAAATATCTTAACCAAGGTAGAACTTGAGCCTCTTGAAATGCTGTCTGGGGTGGGAGAGTATCGGTGCTGCAAAGAGCCAAGCTTTGAGAGCAACCCACTGACTAAAAGGGGCACATGTCCCTGCCTGGGCTGGGGCTGTGTGGGGGGCACTGCTAGTAGCAGAATTAACAAGGCAGCCCTGGAGCTGTGCAGAGCATGTTGGCCAACCCTGTCCTTCAGAGGAGCAAATTAGCCATAAATACCTGCAGCTAGCAGGGCAAGAGGAGCAGGAAAGCTGCTTAAATTAGAGCTAAAATAACCTACTTGATTTCTGCATTGATTAGCAAAAGTAATTGGCCCTCCAACCACGAGTACATTTTTTGAGCTTAAAATAGCCTGAAAGCTCTCAGGCCAAGCAGCAGGACTGCTGCAGAGAACTGACCTAATGTGAAGCTTCGTTGCAGGCACTACCACCCCAGATAGGCCGATATTCCTGTGCCAGGATGAGCAGGATGGGTGCAGCAATGCGAGAAGCTTTTTGCACGCGTGCCTGGCTGTAAGAGGCACCAAATCCTTTAAAACAATAGTCTTGTTAGACACCTGCTACATCAAGGCTAACTCTTTTCCCTAAGGAATCGTTCAAAAACAAATGACTCAGAGAACTACTAATTAGTCTGCAGCATTCAAAGTCCTCCCGAAATAATATTACTTTGTTGTGACTCATCACAATCTATTTTCCTAGCATTGCAAAGGGATTCAGCTGGCATCCTGAGCCCAGCATTTGGTTGG